AATATTTCATTCGCGCCTCAACATTCGCATATCCAGCGCGCCGAGACGCGTTATCTCTTCCCGCGTTCCTTATCAGAGACTTCAAAGCGCGCATCTATTATCTATCCAAACCGTCGGGCGTCCGCCTGACGTTTATTTATTCACGTAGGAATGTCCAGCGAGACCCTACCGCCCTATAACGCTCCCTCGCGCGTCGCCTTTTCGACAAGGAGAAAGACAGACCCGCGAAGAGAGACGGGAAGAGCCGCCAGAATCGAAAGGGAGAAAAAAAAGAAACGAGGAGAGCATATACCTGTTCCACGCGTGAGCACGCACATGTACAGATGCGCGCGCGTACAGGAACGCGACTCCTCGCGCGTGTATGCGCGCACGTACATCCCCCACACAAACGCCCTTAAGCATTAAGACACTAAATGAGAATCTCGGGCAGCGTAGGGCTTTGGGACCGCAGTAGTGGGGAATCACGGGGGTATGAGGCGCTGCGGGCCGGTAAAACGGGGGAAGGGGAGAAGACGGGGACTTAGGACCCGAGATCGAGAGTGCGTGGGGATAGGCGCGTGCCCGCCCCGGCTATATAAGGCCCCGAACCCTCATTGGCTAGGCATTTCGGGAGCCAGAATCGTACCGAGAGCATCGAGGGTGCGGATTAAGTTTTCTTCCCACGCTATTTCTTTTCGGTCGATCGAGTAAACCGCACGCTTTCGTCCGTTTTTTTTCCTCATCTTCACGTGTACCACGAGGTGTTAACGAGTCGCATCGACCTCACCTCGACAAAGTTTCTCTTCGATACGTCGAGCCAGTGTACGTCGCACGAAGGTCGCTTGGCACGCGCTGCTACAATTCCTGCTCCCGGGTGGTGGGGGGATTCGGACCCGTGATATGACCTTAGTGGGGTCCACGGAGGAGAGCGTCCTGCCCATCATGCTGGGTGTACAGCAGCAGCATCACCACCACGGCCTTCACGCCACTTCCAGCGCGCAAACCCATCGCGGCAACGTGATCGTCTCCACCAATAATATGCCAACCAACAACAGTACTCTACAACACGGGTGCAAGCGACCCAAGATTTACGGCCAGGCAACCGGGCCTTACGGCACGGTGCCGCATCAGCCCGCCTCGGTGGCTAGACGAAATGCGCGTGAGCGCAACAGGGTGAAGCAGGTAAACAACGGGTTCGCCACACTGAGGCAACACATACCGCAGACAGTGGCGCAGGCATTGGGAAGTAGTACCGCCGGGACACACGGAGGATCCAGAGCCGGCAGCAAGAAGCTATCTAAAGTGGAGACCCTGAGGACGGCGGTGGAATACATCAGGAGCCTTCAACGTCTTCTGGAGGATCACGACGGTGGCTCCGAGTCCAGCGGCTCCTCGCCCGCTTCTTCAACGTCCTCCAACTTGTCCGAAAATGGAGTTAACTCCGACTCCAATCATTCGGCGGAACTAAGATTACGAGGTGGCATCACCAGGGAGATCCATTGCCACGGTAGTCCACACGAGTCCGATCTTCGGCATCAACACCTCAGGCAGAACTCGAGTCCAATGACTTTCGTCCCAACGACATTCTCGGAGGCGTCAAGTTCACCAACGCCAAGTTTCATCTTCGAAACCTCGTCGGCCGAAAGTCAAGGTTACGGCACCCTTTACATGACGCACTCCGATAGTTACGACAATTGCGAAGACGAGTCATTGTTGGAAGCCATCGCCATATGGGAAGGGCGTTCTGATCTTCTGTGAAGACGTCGACCCAATCAACAAAATGATGTTTAAAAAATATTTTTTTAAATGTTTGAAAAACATTTTTTGAAACATTAAAAAAAACATTTAAATAATGGGATAAGTCCCCTTTTTCTCATGT